AGAGTAAGTTAGAGAAAGATTTCCTCATTGTCCACTGCATGGCTTTACCCATAATTGATCTTTTCTTGGAATCTGTCCCCATTTACAACTGGTTTGACTGAAATAATGAGGAAAGATGAATTATAAATAGACACCAGACTTTGCAACTTCGTCATTGCAAATTAAATGATGTCATGGAAAGATTCTAACACCCTAACCAACTAGGCTACAACCCTCTCTCATCCTCTATTGTTATTGTAGATTGGGTCTAGATCAGACAGAGAAAGATCCGGAAGCAGAAGTTAATGAATATTTAGGCCGTGCTATAGATGCTAGAAGTATAGAAAGATTACGTTCCGAACATGTTAAAGGATTTTTTCTTTCCTTTCGTAAAAAAGAACTCGAAGATAAGGTAGGGCTTCTATTTTTTATAACATTATTGAATTGTGAACAAAGCTTTCAGCATTTTATATAGTTTTTCAACCCAGTTTCCCCCTGTCAGTGATGTAGGTAAGAGGGGCTGACATTGAAAAAGTGTCTAGTTGTTCAGATGGGACAATAAACCGAGGCCCTGTGTTCTACAGGGTTCCATCCCAGCATATATCAAAGTAATACCTTCAGATTTTTCAACCCAGTTTCCCACTGTCAGTGATGTAGGTAAGAGGGGCTGACATTGAAAAAGTGTCTAGTTGTTCAGATGGGACAATAAACCGAGGCCCCGTGTTCTACAGGGTTCAATCCCAGCATATATCAAAGTAATACCTTCAGATTTTTCAACCCAGTTTCCCCCTGTCAGTGATACAGGTAAGAGGGACTGACATGGAAAAAGTGTCTAGTTGTAGGGACAATAAACCGAGGCCCTGTGTACTACAGGTTGTACATGTTAAAGATCCCTTGACAGTTGATAATTAAAAAAGAGTAGACTAATGCCGATGTCCCGGCAAAATTTCCCTCATTAGCTCAATCAGGTGCAGAAAAGCTCAGACGCCTACAACTTTGAAAAATTTCCCTCATTGCACACTGCATGGTGTTGCCTGTCTTCATTAGCCCACATGGTGCAGAAAAGTAGGATGTAAAACTCCATTCCTTTCATTTGAACCTGAAACATGTTGGTGCTGCTTTTTTGGCAAAAATTCCCTCATTGCACATTGCATGGCCTTGTCCGTCTTCATTAGCCCTAACAGGGGCAGAAAAGTAGGATGTAAAACTCCATTCATTTTAAACACCATATACATCTATATCTACTGCATACCTGACACTTTTCCTCATTGAACACTGCATGGTGTTGTCTGTCTTCATTAGCCAACATGGTGCAGAAAAGTAGGATGTAAAACTCCATTCATTTCCAACACCATATACATCTGTATCTACTGCATACCTGACACTTTTCCTCATTGAACACTGCATGGCGTTGTCTGTCTTTATTAGCCAACATGGGGCAGAAAAGTAGGATGTAAAACTCCATTCATTTCCAACACCATATACATCTGTATCTACTGCATACCTGACACTTTTCCTCATTGTACACTGCATGGTGTTGCCTGTCTTCATTAACCCACATGGTGC